CACGCAGTACCTATTTGCTCTCAGATGAGCTACAGTCCAAAAGAAGCCTAATTTTTTTTTTTTTACAAAGTGCTTCGAAATATGGGAAATTGCAAATTTAAATCAGAAGTCTAAGGGCATATATAACAATGTTATATAAACTAGCAAACTGAAAATTGGCTCATGCCTATAAGGTAGAGCGTGGGTACATTTTAATATAATGAAGATGGAGCCTCCAAAGTTTGGAATGCCTAGGCCCCAGCCCGTGGAGTAGGTCAAACAGCCCTGATTAGTTCTGGAGTGGGACTGGGGATCTGCATTTTAGAGAAGCCTCAAAGACTTCGCTGTAGGTTCTAATGCTCCTTCAGAAGCTCAGGCCAAATCTTCATTCCAAAATCAATCTGCCCCTCAACCTTTTCTCACTTGAGAGCTATCATTCCAATCTTGGTGTCATTTTGCCAAATTCTTGTTGGGTAGATATGTTTCTTTGGATCCAGAGGGAACCAAACAGGCTGGATTTAACATGTTTATTGTTTTCAATACAAATTATTTGTAATTTTTGTAACTTTGCAAGATTTTTCACATAAATATATTCATAAATCAGAAAACACTTTGTCATAATCTTCTTGATTTATGATAAAGAAAAAATATTTTTTACACATGACATAGGTACGTAAAGTTCTCATCACATGAGTTCAGAAGTTGTTGAAGACTGACGTGATCTTAATATATTATTTAATATAATTAATACTATAAATGAATACTTGTCATAATGCTTGAGATAGTAAAGCTTAAGAAAACATTGTTATAAATTAGCATGACATTTGAAATAGTGACATTTTGGGGGTAACTTTAGCTCTTTCTGAATCTCTGCCAAAGCCGTAAGTCAAGAAAAAAATCAGGTGTCTTTCTTAAGCTTTTGACCCTGACATTCTGAGAATGAGAAATAATGACAAGAACATAAAAATTTTTCTGATCAATAAACTTCAGCGTCCCCATTTTGTGATGGCTGGGAGGCCAGACAGGGAGGGTTGTGAGAATCACTGTATTTTTTTCCTGGAATCCATCTACTCTTCCTAGCTCCCTTCGCAGTCAGTTTTAAGCTCTGACTATGCCTCGTCTTCCTCCAAACCCTCACTCCGTTACCTTAGCCCCTTCGAACCTAGCTGTTATATTGGTGAAAAGTTGTGGAAAGAAACCCTAAATGGCTAAAACCGAGTTTCTGTTGCTCAAAGTTCAAAACGGAACTAAAGGTTCAAAATGGAAACCAAATACGGTTATAGAAAAATATGGAAAATACATTACTTTTAGTTTGTTAACAAAGATTTGTAGCTACTGCTAGGCCACAGCGACATCACCTAACTAGATAGTTGGGTTTTCTGGGGTACCACAGACACAACGTTACTGGGTTGGGTACCGGGATTCAGTGGGTCCTTATGGCAAGAGCAAGTTTCCCTTCTTCCTCCACCAGTGCTCCTTTAGTCATAGAATCAGAATTGCTTAGGAAGTGACAGGAAGTCCTAATGCCTTTCCTCTCCTATTCTAGGGCATTGCCACCCTACGGCGGGCTTACCACAATTTGATGTTTGAAATATCGATGCTGTCAAGATTATTGTTATATAAACAATTAATGCTTTTGCAGTCTTGGGTGGAATTTTATATTTCTTTGAGATGTTTTTCCTTGGGAACACTGTTCCAATTTTAAAACTGACATCAGTTGGGTAATTGGGGTTAATAGGCAGAATTTTGCTTTTCAACCTCTTTTTTCTTCACAGAGCATTTGGCCTGATCTTATAGAGAGAATGTCTTTGTGGCTGAAGCCATCAGCAGAGTCCAGGCTCATCTGAATTTGTATAAAGGACAAAAGAGTCTTTTTTTCCTCTCAATAAATATTTCTCTCAAATGGGTGAGATTGGACTATGCATACAAAGAGGAAAATATGGGGTTTAATGGCAAGCCTGCAGAACCTGAGTTAAAAGAAGTGAGTTTAATTCTAGTTCCTGTGATGGGACCTAAGGACAAATGACCCCACTTTCTTTGTGAAAGTGGAATGACACAGACTATTGTACGGGGCTTTTGTGAGAGTTATATTAAGTCATATATATGATAGTTATTTCTAAAGTGCTATATAAAAGTAAGGCATTATTATCAGGCAGCTAAGCAAAGTTAAAAGCTTTAATAAAACCTATCTTTTACTGACTATAAGGAGACATTTTCTTACCAATGTGCAAACAAGACATATTTGCCATTGAAAGTTAAGTTTTTGAGACTAGATGGCTCAGGAAGCAATAAAGATGATCAAATATGTCAAGGGAGACATTTTAAAAAAAGGATAAGTATATTATAGACAGAGGTAGGAGACAATCTACTTCTTTTAAAAAGCCATATCTATTCATAGCATATTTGAAAAATTATTGAATTCAGGAATATGAGGCCTAGAAAAGTGATCTAAAGAATCAGGATGTCATTCAGCATAAAATGTTTAGTCAGGCAAACTCAGATTAATAATGGGAGATTAAATCATGGCAGTCCTTGAGGGCAGATATGCACAGAGAAGGGTGAATGCCTGTCTATTTTACCCATTTATGCCTATCACCTTGATCTGTGCCTGGTCCATAGTAGTTTCTCAAATGACTTTTACAGAATGAATGTAAAGGTTCAGGAGTATCACTGAGGGGAGATATATCAACCGTGCTGAAATTAATATCTGAATTGTTCAGACAAAGGGATACATACTTGTTGGCTCAGATTTGTGAAATAAAGATGCGAACCAATTATAATGGCAGGCTGAGCCTTTTAGCTTCCTTAATTAGTCCAAGTTTTTCATCATCTCAGGAAGAGATTTGGGAAGAAATTCTTCCTAAATGTCAGTGGTGAGTAGTCAACAAAACAGAGTGAAAGAAAACAAGTCTTTCACTGGAGAACTTACTCTGAGGTTTGGGATGGCAAATAGGTCAACATTATTCTATTGTTGATGGTTGCTGGGACATTTCTACATCTAGGAGATTCGTGAGGCAACTGATTAGAAATGTCTCCCTTGGGTGCTGAGGTCAGGGATGGTTCAAAAAAACCTCTTAAAGAGGTTTCCAGCTTGAAGGTCGAATTTTTAAATGACTTCCTACCTGCTCTTCTGATAACATCCTCATGATTATTATGGGATATGGCTTGTTATGGTGACTGAAATTGGGGGAAATTGAGAAAGATAGTGCAAGAGTGGCAGAGACTAAACTATGTGGCAGATACATATAGGTCTGCTCGCCAGATACACATGTGCTTGTGTGTGTACATCTCCCAGCCTCTGTCAGTTAGTTTGGGCCATACGACTGAGTTCTGGCCAATGAAATGTGAGCAGAAGTGTCATAAACCACATATAGGCCCTGCCCCACAGAAACATCTCATAAGGTCATCCAGCAAACTCTCCTCCCATGCCACGTTAAACCTTGGAGTAGTGTGTTCCAAATGGCATTGCTACAAGAGAGAGAAAGGTCCATAACTACCCTGAACTCCTAAGAGTGAGAAATAAACTTTCTAGAGATTTTGGATTTTATCTGTTGCAGCAGCTAGAGTGAATTACTCTCATTCATACTAATAATATAATGGGAAGTGGTTTGTTACAGTGATGGGAAGGGCTTAGGCTTTCTAAATGTTTGCAGGAATCTGCTTCCTAAACTGCGTCCTTGAGATAGCATGTTGTACCTCCTGTTACCATCAGGTCAAGGAAATTTCCAAATCCTGTAGACTCTGCCTGCCTGGGAGGTGGAGTGGTGGGGGAGAGTGCAGAGCTGGGAGCAGAGTGGGGCTTGGCTCTAGCATCCTGTACATATTACTGTACAATGTACATACCCTTCAAAAAGTGTATTTCTAATAACATCATTCCTTTCCATGGATTTCTGTTCCTTGCCAGGTTAACTTTAAACCAAACAGCAAAATAACATAAACAAAAATAAAACATCAAAAATCAGCTGCTCTGGCATTGGTGATCCTCTGTGTTCTGGTGCCACATGATTTTTCCAAGCCTGGTCCTCTTTCAGGGACCTCAGCTGAGATCAATGGCATTGCTTAAACATTCCTCTCTTTTCTCTCTTTCCCAGCTATTCTTTTTGATTTCTTATCTTCCTTTATCTCAGTACTACTAATTCCTAAACCTTTTGCACGCTTCTCCTCCTGGGCAGAAACAGTTTCTCCTTCCTTTGAACACTTTGATCTGCACCTCTCTGAAGGTATCTCCATGCTACCTTCTAGTGGGTATGATAGTTATGTACTTATAATACTTAACAATGTACTTATGGCAGCCCTTCCTCCTGGACCATGAGTTTCTAGAGAGGAAGGAAAATATAACTGTCTGGCTTACAGTCAAATATTTCATAGCATATAGCAGAATACCTACTATATATTGAACAAATGAATGAATAAATGAAAATCTTTGCAAAGCTATGAATTCTCCTAGTTACAAAAATGATGAAATTGCCTCTGTAGAAATAGGAGGCAGCTTTAAAAAAAGCATGTAAAATATTATAGCTCCGAATATACTAAAAACATTTTATTTCCTCATAGTATCAGAATGCTGGAAGCATTTTATTCTTATTTCTCTCTGGTTTGCTTCTTGCTTTCCTTTTTTCTTTTTTAAATCAGAGATCCATAGACAATTGTTTTTATGGGAGTGAAGTAAAGGATGGAGATTTGGGGTGAGCGAAAATATAGAACCGTTTTTTTTTTTTTTTATCTAAAGCAATTACCATGATGATAAAGCTTTCTTCTTAATGTAGCAACTCCATAAATAACAGCAGAATTCTTGGTGTCCCACCAGTAAGAAGTCTGCAGGGCAGTGCAAATGATATATACTCCTGGCTGGAAGAAACTATGGTTTACAAGCTAATTATCATATAACAAGTTGGTTTTAGTTAGCTCTCTGAGAGGTTAAACAGATTTGGAAAGATAAAGTGTGCCTTAAGATGTACATTTTAAAAACTCTGATTACAAACAATAGCTTGAGAGAATTGAAAAAAAAAAAACAAGTTAGAAAAAAAACCAGTTTATTAAGTAATATCATATAAATAACTTGTTACAAAAATTGATTTGCAAAAGGCATATTTACTCTTTGTGAGAAATCACTTTTTAAATTGCATTCTTTTCAAATTTATACTTCTAAGAAAACAAAGGGAAATAAAAGAAGCCATTTCAAGGAGTGTATATTTGCCATAGGACTACAGTAAAAGGCCTGGCCACACTGAGCTGAAAGGTAATTGTCTCAACCCCTTTCTTCTAGTACAGGAAACTTTCTCATATAAATTGTGAAGTTATAAAAATCTCCCTAGCTAGAAATGTTGATGAAAGCTGAGCAATGATGGTTTTCATCAGGTGTTCTTATTGCCAAAGACACAAGCAATAGTGAGAAAAATGACATGAACTGAGCACTCCAACCAGTAAATTTCCAGGGGTGACATCAGCTTCAATTTATACTTGGGAGTATTTTTAATTGAAAACAATCGATACCCAGAAGCTTTTATTTTTTTGAGTTTAAAATCACAAATCACAGTAGGAGAATGCCAAATGGCCTTAGCTTGGTATGACTGAAGACACATGTAGCATGTATTAGAAGGCCTATTTTTACGTGGTTTACTTTCACAGCAATGAAAATAATCACAAACATAAAAGTACAGTGATTTCGAAGCGTTCTTATATTTCTTCCAAGCAGATCAGTTTTACTTTTGCTACATAGCATTCCCCCTGAATGCCTAGCAATTCTATACATTTAATTCCTTAATAAACACTAAACTAATAGATCATAGAAAACTAAAAACTTATAGAAGGTGCCTCTAGATATATTTACATATATAGCATAGTCTCGCAAGAAAGAGCAAACTCTCATTATAGTGGAATGCTTTTTCCACAGCGCTGGGTCCATGCCTCATTTGTCAAATTAACCCCATTTGAAGAAAAATTTGAGTTTGTGGTGCATGGGCTTAAAAAAAAAAAAGAATTAAGTAACTTGTAAAAGCTCTTTTGAAATTAATCTAATAACCCAGTAGCTCTCAGTAAGTGCCTTGGTCCTGTCTGAAATATAGTTGGTAATAGGCTTCGTTTCTATTTGACCTCTTTTCGGCACTTTTATCTGCTGGCTCTGTCAGGCTAATGTTCCCCCCAAATTAAAAAAATGAAAATGCACCATAAATAAGGTATTATAAAACAGGGAGTAGATTAAAGATTGTCTCAGCAATGCTTAAATTAAATTGACGATGCAGAGACCATAAACTTGTGGCTTTAAAAATGAGCTATTTCTTTATTAACTTTTAACAAGAGTATGAGTCCATGTATTTCTTTTCTAAGAGAGTATTGCCCTGCACATTGAGTATGGTTGGGGTCTGATATATTTTAGTAGAGAATTATCCCTTTATAAAATTATTCCATAAAGATACCAAAGGAAGATTAAAAATGCTGCAATTGTAACAGCGCTGAACTTTTAAGGGGACCGTACTGGAATTCTGTACTCTTTGGAAAGGAAAGCTGCTTGTTGGAAAAATTAATCTTGCTGAACATCCGCACACAAAGTCTTGTTCTTTCCACTCTTATAATCTGATAAAGAAGGCTGAGTTGTAGTGTTAATGTAAACACAGTGGACTTAGACTTTTGATTCTGTCACAATTCAAAACAGATTTCATCTAGATAAAAGCATAAAAACTAAAAGTACACGAACATGATTTTTCAGAGGATACCTTTCAAGAGTGGAGATTGCGACTTTTTAGAGCGTTTTTCTAAAGTATTTTCACTACTTCAAAATTAATAACTAAGATACAGTAATTTATTTGGTGGTTCAGTTCCTAGGGAAAATGCATGTAGCTATACCTGATTTAAATATTTAGTTTGTTTTCAGGAGTCAGTTCTTTCTTTTCAACTGCATATTTTTCACGTTCCTCAAGTATTCAGAATTGAGGAATACCCAATCATAGTTTATACATTATTATTTCCAATAAAATACCCATTGCAAGGCAAAACACTTGATATAAGGTATTGTTCAACAAATCAGGTCATCTAAAATTTATGTACTTGAAAATGAAAATAATGGAAACATTCTAAATTTAATTCAGACCATAAAATTTGGATGCGTCTAAGATAAAGATTCAGCTTTTCAGGACTTTTGCACAACTTTTTAAGAGCTGAAAATGATAACTAAACCACAAAATTTTTATGCTGAGTTAAAACTGAATTGCCAGGATTTATTTCATCTGAAAATGAAGACAATTTGTATCTGAACCTCTCTTTATGCACCTAAACTGTAAAGCTAAGAAAGCACTGTAAAAAAAACATATTTACTGTGCCCAGATGCCCTCTCTTATGGTTCTGTAGAACCATCTTTGCTTCTCTCCCATTTGATTTAATTTTTTATTTGGGGACGAATATTTTCGAGGCCTTTCAGCAGAAAGTGGCCATGAAGTGAAGGGGCTTTAAATTTATGCACAATAGCTTAATATTTTTAAAATTTTGGCTTATTCCAGTGAACATCTTTATGGTTTAGAAAAATTCTCCCCTTTGAATAGAGGAGAAAAAATGTCCTGAAAACAACCCATTAAAGCAATCTGCTTATATTTAATGAATTTAAGTTTCTCAGTGATTAAAGCAAATATGAAAAATTTTACCTCTTCCCCCTTTCCATCTTTCTCATCACTAACATCTAATATCATGAGAGAGAAAATGTGAAAAGTGAGCTGAAAACGAATTTTTTTCTCCAGTGATCACTCATATTGACCCTGGTCCTTTGCCTGATATCTTCGTGGGAAGGAAGTTAGACCCTTATAGAATGATGGAACTGTGGCTCTTATTGTTTCCACGATGTCAAAGAGTCTTAGTTGGAGGAAAATATTACTCTACCTCAATACTTACAGGACCCTAGTGCTAAATATTCAGCTTCAGTCTCAAATAATCCAATTTCTTAGAGGTTCAATTCGTCATCAAGTTTTGCGGTAAGAAATGAAACACTTCAATATTTAGTCATAACCTGTTCTTGGTACACTTTATCATCTTCAGGATGGGATAAAATACCCTGCCAATGACATTTCAAATATTTCACTACAAAACTACTTACTTTCACTTACGAGGAGAGAATAAACCTTACCCTTGAACATTAGAAGTTGCTAGTATCAACCCTCAGCCATTCCAATTAACACCGAAAGTTCAAAAGTAAGACTTCTGATGATAGCTTTCTTTTTATAGGACCATCTTTCTTGATTCAATTTGTTACATGACATGAAACATAAGGATAGAGAACTCTTTAATTTTACAGTAAGTCATGTGATTAAGGTGCTGTGCTATTGCTATAACTAGTTATTAACTTCACTAAACTATCTTTTTTCGATATTTACCTGTGACTATGATATGTATCGATTCATTACAGTGAAGTCCTCCTGTAGTATTTTGTTTGCATTCGTGTGTGTGTGTGTGTGTGTGTCTGTGTGTGTGTGTGTGTGTGTATGGAGAACTAGCAAAAGGAAACCCTGAAAGCAGAAAATGACCCAAGCCATGAAATACTTGTTAGTATACAAGGAAATCCTTTACAAAATAGGAAACCATTCAGGAAACACAAGAAATAATATGGTTGTAAAATTTTTTCACTCTAAATGGGTAACTCGAACACTGCATTTCTCTTATTTAAAGGTGGCATTTTTACTTCCTGGGTAATACACCCATTTAAAACTTAATTAAACAAGTGTGTTTCCAAATGGAAAATATGTGCTGATATGACATTATCCCCAAGTAGAAATAACACTAAGATTACCTGTAGAAAATTAAAATTAATTGAAAATAAATCCCTAAGACTAATAATTGAAGTCAGCATATTCTTAAGTACATATTGTGTGTGTGTATATATATATACATAGCCTTTTTTTTAAGTTTTCAAAATATGGATGAATTCATTATAGTACTTTGGAAGTCAGATTCTAATGATAAAAATCATTAGAACGGCTGTATTAAATAAATGATTTGAACCTGACAAAAGAATTAGTTTAGTTCGGTTGGGTCCTCTGGATAATAACTATGAAGCTAATTGCATTTTTAAAGAAATAATAGATTGGATGGATTGTACATTACTTTTCTGTCATAGTTTGAGACCATTACTTTATCATTAGTTCAAAGACCAGGATGGCAGGGTTGCCATGGAAACAAAATTAAAAACAATGAAAAAAATATTAATGCTTTTGAAAGTCAACTATTATTTTAATTACAATCTGAGACACTTTTGTTGAAGGAAATCCAAGTTTTCCCTTTCTAAGTGTCCTCCAAACATGTCATATGCAGGTTTTTGCTGTAATTTCAATGTTTGTCTATATCTATCACATTATATAAATATATAGGTGTTTCTGAATGTGAAGGATAGGGTATCAGGTTCAAGTGTGGCTGGCCCTCACCACCCTATTAAACTCCAAGAGCGGGATTTACGTTTTATTTAGTCTATCTTTACTAATGCAACTTAGTTTTATAAGAAGTATCTAAAGAATACGAATTATTGTACTTCACACTGCTACTTTCAAGTATATATTAGGATAATACTGACAACTACAGACAAGGAGTTAAAATGTATCTCAGAAAAGTTCCTTCAAGAACTTTTAAATAATTAAACTTATTTGTAATTAACGTCCTGATGGTTGAAAAAATTTCAAGTGATCTGTGGTACATTTGGTGGCCCAAACTTTAAAATATACTAAGTATTTCCTTTGTTAGCATTATTAGTTATTTTCCCTTTCCATTTGAATGGTACAAGGGCAAACTTTTGCATGTCTAATATACAACAAATTATGAGTTAGTGGTGAGGAATGAGGCCTTATTTATTTATTTTTTTGGTTATTGTTTTTGAATGTTACCATTTAATTCGCTTCTATTCCTAAAGAGGAATGAGAATCTTAAAATATAGGCGGATTTCATGTTTTGAATAATCATTGGTGCTAGAAAAGGTTTTTGAAGAACAAACAGGATGGGCAAATGTCATTTTAAATTCTTTGTGACAGACATACACACCCATATATAGTTCATTATCTCCTTGTGAGTTGATATACCAGGAACGACTTCACAGTTGTTCCTCCCTCATTTTTTTTTATGAAAACTATATTTTATCATTAAAGTACAATCCCTCATCCCATTAGCATGTGAAATGTACAGTCAGAGCAGTCAGCTGACCTGAGTCAATAGAGGGTAGTACAAAAAAAGGCCAGGTCAGTAGAATTGAGCATGTTACTACTCTCTGTCTTCTCCTCCAGCATGGTGCCTGTTGGGCTGACATGGTTAACTGGATGCACTAAAAAATAAACATTTGCCTCTTGGAAGCTCATAAAAGTGTACTAGAAAAAAGTCTCTAACACTGGATCCACACGACTGCAGCCATTGACTTTTGGAACGGGCAGAACAGAGAACCCTTCACGGAGCAGTGGATAAATAGAAAGAAATAGCCACTTCACATATTTCAGTGTCGTACTGGAAAATGAAAAAGGCAACATATTAGGGGTCCTTGTCACTGTCCACCCCTCCGTACATATCTGCGAGCTTTTTGAACCGAGGGCCCCAGTCACTAAGGTAATCATAGTCTTGGTCTCCATCCGTGGTCACCGACTCCAGCGAGCTCAGGGAATCGGCCACTGAGCCGGTGCCCTCGTAGGCATAGGTGGCCAAGGAGTCGTAGGGTGGGGCCGTGGGGTCTGTGTCATTTTCCTTTACCCTTTGGTTAATGAAGTCTCGGACGTCGGTGTTATCACGGGCTGCTGGAGTCCGTCGGGGTAGAAAGAGGGCTTCGGGCACAATGTCTCTGCGTAGTTTGCTGTCCTCTATGGCTTCAGGATTCCTCAGGGTGCCGATATCAAAGGCCTGGGTGTCCTCCTCCCCACCACCTTCGTCGTTGTAACTGACAATGTTGTCTCTGATGTCCTCTTTGGAAATGATCAAAGGTTCTTTTTTCCGTTGCCGTCTCAGAGCTGCAAACAACACCACTGTCACTGGAAGCAGAACCAAAACAGAAAGGAAATGGAAAGTTAATTTGCCACCCAATTAATGCCAGGAAGGAACACTGGCCGCCAATATGAAGTTTTGAAAGTTCTCTGGGAAAGTGCAGACTCGACTTTTCTTTCTTTAAAGGATGCACTTACCTTCATGCACCATCAAACCAGGACCCAAAGCAATGGAGTAAATATTTGAGAGAAGGTTACATTTTAAGTAGAAGATAAAACATTGTCATATTTTGTCAGTAGTTCCTTTTTGCTTTGAAATGGCAAACTAGTTTCAAAGTAAGAAAAAAGATAAAATACTACTAAAAAAAAAAAGCTCAGCAACGTGATAATACTGCTGTAGGAGTGCAAATTATGCTGAACACCTAACATGCTCTGAAACCGCTTAAAAGCACAAGGCTGGCACCTTCCGAACGTGCCAAAGGGTTTGCATAACTCCATATCTAAAATAACTTTTGCACTCTGCCTTCTTTTTTGTTTTCATGAGAAAAGTGTAAAATTAGTTTAAAACCCAAAGGGGAGTTGTGAATATTTGCATACCTTTCCCACATATGAGGAAATATTACAGATAATACCTGGAGAGACCCAGATACCATGCGGAAAGCCAGTCTGGACTTCAAGATCAGCCATTCGAAGGGTCAGGTAATAATATGCATGTCAGATTATTTCTGCTTGAGCTAAACAAAATAAATACTTTCAGTGGGAACTTTAAAAAAAATCCTTCAAAGGTTCAGGTTCTGTAAGTTTGTTACCCGGATATTCATTTTTTTCTCCCTCTTAATTCAATTAAAGGCAAAACAAGGATTGTGTTTAAAATAGCTCCTGATGTTTCTTCATAGCTGGCTGGATAGAACACAGCTGACTACCTATAGAGAGACACATTTACAAATGGACATATGTAAAAACATAGCAACCGCTTAGAGAGAAAAGAGGTATCCAGGGCAGAAAATGCATTGTTTAACAGGGTTTGTCCAGGGGAGTTTATTACAGGAAGTACCAATAATGTCTCTTTATTCTCTTATTCATAACATGGTCCCATTTTTATGAGCTATGAAAATTGAACTCTCTTAATAAGAATTACTGAATAATGGCTTTTAATGGATATATGTATCCACCCATATACTAATGGATACATGCACACCCATGTGTCTATATATTAACCTTTCAGATATTGATAGTATTAATAATTGGTTATCTATTGAGACAGTTCTATGTGTCAACCACTGGGCTAAGGGCTTTACATACTGGTCTCATTTAATTATCATAATAGCCCTGCAAAATAGGTATCATCATTATAATCCCATTTTACATAGAGGAAATTGAGGTTTAGAGATGTCACACGTACAAGCAATTGAAATTCAGGTCAGCCAGACTCTTAAGTACCATGGTTTGATGCATGTTTGGATTATAGACTATTTGTGAAGGAAATACAGTTTGGCCATTTTCAAATGTGTGGTTGTGTAATTGTACATGTTCTCTTTCACTGCCAGAGAGGATTCTGATGCCTCATTTGTCACACTGATTCAGGGTATTTATTTTCATTCATTCATTCATTCATTCATTCATTCATTGCATATTTATGTAGTGTCTAATCTGTGCCAGGTATAGTACTAGGCACTATTAATGAAAAAAAATTGATGAAGACCTCCACCGTAACAAGGTGGGCAGGAGTGGTGCTGGTGGTGCTGGTGGATGGAGACAGAAAATAAACAATGTCCATGATAAGGAAATTATTAGGTGGTCAGTAGAGCAGAATAAGGAGGAATTTTGAGGCTGTATATGTTTTTTGCGGGGAGAGATTGCATCATCGAGGAAGTGACTTTTGAGCAAAGGCCTGAGGAGTCAACCAGAGAATTCTCTGGTGAAGAGGACGGAGCTAGAAGAAAGGCCCTGGAGAGGGAGTGTGCCTGCAGTGCTTGAGGAACAACGGAGGATACTGTGGCTGGACCAGAGGGGGCAGGGGGAGGAGAGAAGTAGGGAAGGGCCACCTCATGTGAGGTTACAGATACTTCTGCATGCCTTCACTTTATTCTCAGATCTGGGTGGGTGGAAAATTATAGGGCTTGGGGCAGAGGAATGCTCACAATGTACCTTTTATACTGCTTTGCAGTGTGGCCAGTGACATGGATTTGCAAAACAGCGTTGTAAGTAAGGATGGTGTTTGGGATTAGAGAATAGGATCGAGCTAACTCACTCTCAAAGAATTAAACTCTGATGTCCACGGGTTTCTTCCATCATTTAAGGCAAGATAGCAGGCATTTTTCATTTCCTAATTCTTCCCAGCTTAAGTTACCTATATCTTTTATTTCAGTCCTAGGCACTCCAGAAAGTGCAGTTGTCTAGGAGAGGGCACGTTCATTCATTTGAAGGCATTTATTCACTGCCGAGTTCTCCTACAGCTACCACTGCCTATATCTTTTCTTATTAGCCCAATGCACATCTGAACAGAATTTCTTGAGAGCATAGCTGTCTAGAAGGAGCTTTCCAAAGCTAACTTTTATAAACTGAGAAAACGTGAGATCTAAGCACATGGAACAAAAAGATTCTGAGAAGGTAAAGCGGGGAGGAGGTGCCCTTCCCACCCCGCTTTCTCTACTCCCTCAGACCACAGGGCAGCAATAAGATTATTTCGGAGGGGGAGACTCTTGGACAAATTTGTGCTCAAATCCCATCATAAAACTGGAAAGTAGCAAGGCATTTGAGATCAGCAGACCTAGATTTAGTTAAATGATTTGACCTTTCTAAGTCTATTTCCTTCTCTAAAAAGAGAAGCAATAACACAATGTCCCGTGTTGTTGTCAGGAATGCGTTAATATATGTGAACATATTGCAAACTCTAAAGCACCATAGACACACGAGATGGAGTAGTTGTTTTACTCTCGTTTTACTTTTGTAAATAAAACAACAGATGACACATGATCCATTTTCTTGACTGCAGATTTTCTCCTGTATAAATGTGGCTTTCCTCCTCTTACGAACTCTCAGGTGCGCTTCCCTTTTCTTCAGTTGTCTCATTTTCAGTTCAGGCTCTCTTTCAGCCTGGAAGTTGCCTTGCCTTCCATAAGCTCACAAAGAAAGTAGAGCGCGATGTGGAAGCACCAAGGCTCGCAGGGGAGAAGACCTGAGTTTGGAACTTAGTTCTGCCACCTGTAAGCTGTGTGACTTGGCTACATGACTGCACATCTTGGAGCCTCCGTTTTCATATTTAAGATGCAGATAAGTACATAACAGATGGTGCTGAGGATTAAGTGAGAAAAACATCCGTAAAGCACCTTGCCCAGTGTCTAGCCCATGTTATGAGTCTAGTTAAAGGTTAAATCCCATTTTTCCCCCTTTTTGCTTAGGTACAGAATTCTGAAGAGACTAGACAAGATGTGGGAGGCACTGAGGCAAATTAGGAATAATGAGGAGGATGAAGGAAATGAAAAGGGAAGATTCGGGGAGCTGATTAGAAAGGAGAAAAGGGGGAAGAGAAAATGGGTAGATGATGAGGGAAAGGAAGAATCGCCTCTATGACATGAGAGTCAGCTCTCCTTCCATAGACCACAGAAGAGTCCATGGACTTCTACCAGAGTACAAGCCTGCCAATCCAGCCCTTCTAAAAATAGCCTTTTTTTCGATGAAAAAAAAAAATTTTACCCTGAACGTGCCTGATCTCGTCTGATCTAAGCAGAAGCTAAGCAGGATCGGGCCTGGTTAGTACTTGGATGGGAGACCACCTAGGAAGACCAGGTGCTGTAGGTGTTAAAAAAAAATTCATATCCATCTCATTCAAAACAATTTTTACAGACGTACCACTAGAAACACTAACTTGTCTTTGCATACTATCGTTTTTATTTATCTTCATATCATAATACTTTCCCCAAAGATTAGTTGACAAAGAGAACCAGAGTTGTGTGGTGGAGTTTGAAGCCTTCTATTATAACTGGAAAGTTGATCCAGAATGTGCAGCCCATGAGCAGGGATCCCTAGGCATTCTCTTCTCGGAGGAATGTAGGTCTTCCTCTACTCTTCTCAAAGTCACTTTTATTAACAATATTGTCATTTTTAAAAAAGGTAGCCCCACCCCCATGTCATCCAGATTAACTCTAACTTCTTACTCTTCTTTTCCCATTGTGTAGGCAAGTTATACAAATCTTACTTCTGTTTCTGAAAGGGCTGCATTAACTAACATTTGATTTCTTAGTTCTTAACAGTCAAGAGTTTATTGAGCATTTTGAGCTCAACTTGTATGCTTAATTGGTTGGGAGTAAAAATTTCATTTCATTTTTAGACCTTGATTTTTGCTTTTATTACATTCATTTCTTTTAGGTCCCAGATTTATTTCCTTGGTCACAGAAGTTCTTTATAATTAAGAGTCTGAGAAATATAGACATTAGGTATGGCAATATAGAGCAAGTCTAAGAAGGTAGTTATTTAAATGGGTAGATCAAAGTAAGTTTGCTGGGATAGAGAAAATTTCATTGCTTTTTATTTTCCTGTATGAGAGAAAAAAAGTCATCACATTCCTCTTCCCACTTTCCCATTGAGTTTTACACTTTACCTTTTTAGAAAGGGCCTTCACCCTATACTCCATGCCCGAAGACGTCCTCTTTTCAAACATTGTTTGTCAGACTAAATATCAACCAACAAATTAAATGGAAAGGACATATTTATGTTGCTCTCAAGTCCCCCTGAGATTCATTCCCAGTCTGATAGGCAAGAGATTTTTTTTTGGTGCAGTGGTTCCCTGGGCTGGTAAAGACATGGGCAAGTTTCACAACTGTTCATTATCCAAAGCCATATTCAAGCCAAAACTAGTCCATGGTTGAAAAATGCAGATTCTCAGCATATGACTCCACTCACCTAGATTGGGCTGTATGCCTTAATGGGGGAGGCGGATAAATCTAGAGTGTCACAGTGACAGTGTGTGCTCCTCAGCATGGGGAGAGAAGATGCAGGGAGAAGCAGTTTACCTAGTAGGGTCACGATGCACAGAAGGATGGCAATCAGAGCCCCCGTGCTCAGTCCCGTGGGGTGGACGAGGGCCTCGGCATGGCAGGACTGCATGTTCCCATGGTGGTCACATGCACAGACCCGGACGGTCACTGTCCCCGTGCTGCTTTGGACTGGGTAGTCGTTGTCTGAAATGACCACAGGCAGGAGATAGGTGCTCATCTCATGTCTATTATAGCCATTTTTCCGCGTTAAGATTCCCGCTGTGTTGTCTGGAACCAGAAAGCAGAGTGATGAATTATGTGGATACCGCATCATGTGAGGGGAGTAGATATAGACACAGATATCAATAGACAGAGAAAGTAACTTGGGCTTATTTACCTTTGTTGTCTTGAATGGTAAAGTTTGAACCGCTGGCTGCCTCCGGGGCCAAAGAGAACGTGAACTGGTGCCCGCTGTAAGGGTCATCCTTGTCAACAGCTCGGAGGGTCTGAATCAACTAAAACCAAAGCCGTAAAGCTGTCATAAAGTTTTGCTACCTTAAAGTGTATCTTACAGGTTTGCAGCAAATTACTTGACTACATGATTTCTAATTTTAATTTCAAAAATGATGGCCTCTAGAAAATTTGCAATGAATTCACTCTATGCAAAGAACTTATGGGTTGGAAATAGAACAAGGGGAAACTCTTCATTGTGAAGCTGTCCTGTGCTCTGTAGGTTGTTTAGCGAGCCTGGCCTCCTCCCACTAGATACTAGTAGCACCTTCTTCCTTTTGGCAATCAAAAATATCCCCAGACATTGCCAAGTGTCCCATGGGGGACGAAATCACCCGGGTTGAGGAACATTGCCCTGGAGTGACACAAAGCTATAAAATGATCTACGACAACATTGCAACTTAAGAAAATGGAGGCACTTTTGGACAGCCTGTTTAGCAATCTCGATATATACATTAGCCATTAACTTTAAATAAGCTAAAAAGCAAATTTGTATATAAAACATAACTTCAGCTTCGCACTTTAACATGTATTTTACAAGTGTATTTCTATTTTGACAAATTGTAACATAATTTTTATATCGCTGGCAGAAAAGACCTATTTCAGATGGGGACAAATGTGTAAAACAGTAAGACGTTCATGAATTTGTATTGCTTGTACAGATGGGCAATGTAAATAAGCGGAACTATGAATTATAGGCATTTGTAAAATATGTTCTAGTTATTACTTTCCAGTGTATATGGTAATTAAAACTATCTGCTTACCAATAAAGATTTTTCCAAAAAAGCTGTGATTATTCTATTTTAATGAAAACTTAAGACTGATTTGGAATCAGCATAGATTTTGAGACTGATGAACTCCAGTTCTTAAAACCTGTTTGTTCTCTTATGCAAGTTAAACACTCATCCTGGTTCTTATTTATAGTATTAATTTTGTTAGCATTCACTTCATAGATAATTCAAAACTGGCCCTCAGCTCTGTTTATCATCTGAATTATTAGAGGATCTAAATTAATCTGAATAAATTAATTTACTTTCTATGAAACTCACCTGATCTGCTTTTGCTTTTTCACAGACAAAGGTTTCGTAGAATTCAGCAAATTCTGGAGCGTTGTCATTGACATCTAGAACTTTAATATATAGAGGTACTCGGCTGCTTTGCTTTGGATTATCTGCAACGTGCCAAAATGAAAGGAATAGACATTTTTTATGTTGGTCACCAGTTCCCTTTAGACAACAATCACTCACTCCTTCTTTCTCATTCATACGCAGATTCCTCAAGGCTGCTATGAGTACCAGAGGGCATTATGTACCAATATACTCATAAAAAAAAAATAGAATTAGGTTGTTTAGTACTTCTGGTCCATAACTAGGAGACAAAGCTGCTCGTGCTGATATGGTGCAACTGTTTAATAAACACCAGAATCACACAGAATAAAGAAAAGCCATCCTGCAAAGGCTGGCTTTAGAACCAAATTTTAAAGGAAGCCAATGAAGCAGGCAGATGGGAAAATGTAGACAAAAGGAAGAAGGGGTGGAGGGGTGGTGGGGGGTATGAATGGTTGTTATTGGTCTTAGCGTTTTAGTTTGAGTGATGAATAAGACCTGGACATTGTGCTAAGCCCTTTGCTATATTATCTTATTTAATCCTTACGTACTTCTGAGATTGGTACAATTATTGCCCCATTTTATGGGTGAGGAAACTGAGGCACAGAGAAGTTATGTACTTTGTCTATGTTCACAGAGAGTAAGGAGTGGAGCCGAGATTCAGATTTGGGTCTATCTGCCTGCAATGCCCATGCTGTTCGTGTAGGATAACGAGAGAGTAGAATCGAGGTGCGAAGACCTGAGATAAACAAAGTACTCTGTCTTCTGTAACAATCTCCTGGGTAGTATGGAAGATGGTTTCCTGGTTTTAGAATCGAGAGTTGGAGTCTCTCATCTCAGCTTTTTTCATTCATTTAGCTCATCTGTCTATTCATTAGTTCAATTCATAAATACTTAGTGAGCATCTAATAGCTAATTTGTGCCAGCCACAATTTGGGATGCTGGAACACCTGGAGAATATGACAAAGATCCTGCTTCCTGGAGTTTTATTTTAGTGTGGGTAGCAAACTATAAACATAGAAATATGTAATGTGTCAGATGGTAAATGCTATGGAGAAATTAAACAGGGAAAAGGAATTGGGGAGAGATGGAGGTACTAACACTGTAATATACCATTCAATATGAACTGTTTCACACTTGATACCCAACTGAGCTAAAAATCTTTGTACTTTTAAAATTAAAAACAAAAACTAAGAAAATGAGCTATAATTTAGAGGCCTATTTTTAAATATTTAAATGATATTTTAAAGATCATTCTCTTTCATGAACGTAGGTCTACGCATTGTGTTTGCATTGCACAATTTTAACTGTGTATAATCGTCTTATTTGAAGCATTCTTTTGGCACTGTGTTCCTTTGCCTTAAATTTCATGGCAACTGCCATAAAACTCATCCTAAACATTTTATTGATTACTTGATGGTTAGCATTGCTCACTTTGGTGTACTATGGAAAAGTTAAAATTTGTATCTCTTAATTCTGTAACGATTTTGAAATAGAAATTCTAGAGAAAGCTAGAGGATGAACATCCGAAAGATTTCTAAACAATGCTTACATTTTAGAATATATTTGATCCCACCCCTACACACGATGTCTGTGAGCCCATTTTTTCCAGCTGCTTCTATAATGTTCTGGTTTATAAGCTTTTGGGAATCAAACCCAGCATATACCCATTCAACCTCAGTCGACAGATGCCTTCCCATTTTATTGTTTCCAAACCGCTAAACTTCCACATTAGCCTCTGAGTCCGTGATGAACCAACACATGTCTAGAAGAAACATTATTGCAAATCATTACAGGGCTCCTTCCCTCTGTATGTATCGAGCGGAGTCATCAATACATGGTGACAAGTTTCAGTCGTGTTTCACCAGCCCTCGCTGGGACACTCACTCTGTCAGTCCTGGACAAGAGTGGCAGGAGGTTGGACTTACTGATCTCTGTTGCTATCACCGTAATGTTGTGCCACAGCAGTGTTTCTCGGTCAAGAAGTTTCGATGTAAAAATGGAACCATTTCCAGAATCAATGTTGAATATTCTGTCCATATCTGTGTGTCGATCCACAGAATACCTGAAAATGCAGAGTAGAATTTTAAAAAGGTTTTCTTTGTATTCGCTATTCTCACATCCTAAATCTACTCCCAAGAATATCTGTTTCATGATTTTTTTCCTATCTGTAGCACATATTTGAATATCTGTAACTTACCATTAAGCAAAATATTCTGAGAAATCAGTTCTTTACAAGTGAGGTCTTAATAGTAAACCCACTAGACAAGTTGCATGATTTTGAGTATCTCCACTAAAGTTTCTTTTTTTATGTGTAATTTGGATAAAGTCTGTATAGTAATTGCTACAATTTAACTTAAGTTTTTATAACTTCAGAACTTTAATGTGTGTGTGTGCTTGCATGGGTGTATAAGTAGGATTTTTCACTATTTGTCTATTATCCATTTTATTTTTAAAGCTGTTAATATTCAAAGAAGCAAAAGATGGCTAGTGTGGCTGAGGCTAGTGGGGCAGGAGATAGACTGTAGAAGGATGGGCTGGCCATGGTAAGGAGTTGGGATTTATTCTAAGCGTGATGTGACTTTACCAATGGATTTTAAGTAGGGGAGCGTCACAATCTAAATCACATTTAACAAAGGTCACAGGTTGAATTGAGAATGACTGGAAGTGCTGACACAAACTGATAGAACAGGATTTGGGGGCGATCATAAGTTCTCATTTTGATATGTTAGCACTGAGGTGCCTGAGAAAAGTCCAGGATGAGAGAACTAGTCTGAAGCTCAAGATAAAGATCTGTACTGATAACCTAGATTTCCTATTCAATTGTCTAGGAAGAGAATGGCCAGTGAAGGGAGAAAAACACTAAGGACCAATCACTTTAAGGATGAACGGGACACCAGAGAGCCAAAAGGGCTGGGACGCAGTGCCCAGAGTAGAGTAGGAACTTGATAAATATTTACGAAGGAGTTTGGAGAATTCAAAGAATTAATATCATAGTAGGAGATTTTAAAATGTCAGCTCAGTAGAAACACAGTTTAACTAAATGACCTAATTAGTCACACAAATGTGTAATTATGAATGTTCTAAGAAAAACAAATTCTTGTTACTAAGCCCGACTAAGAGTCTATTTCAGTTAATTATTTTGTTTTAATATATAACTAGTGAATTATAATAAACAATACATTTTATTTTAATCAATCTGTTTTTTTGTCATTTAGCAGGGGTCAAAATAAAATAGATATTCCATTACGTAGGCTACGTAAGCTTGACTTTAAAGAGAATGAATGAAGATCATAGCGGATATGTACATATATCTCAAGTGGGGTTAGAATTTTAGTTTCAATTTATATAAATCTAATATTTTATTATCAAAAGGGTTGAAACAAATGTAACAGCTATTGTTTTTTTCCATTTTTGTCATAAATCAATATTTATTAAGAATTTAGGCAACAGCACTGAACTTGCTTGATCACCTTTCTTCATTTTTAATTTGAGAATGGTAAATATTTATAGCACATAATTACGAAAAAGGAAATCTCAATATTCATAGACTCTGAAAGAAATTCAATAATTATCTACAAATATATTTTTCCCTCATGAAAAATGTCAAGCTTAAGACGTGTTGCTTTTTGCCGCTATTAGCGTCTACAATCGTATACAGCAATAATCTTTTCTTATCTCCTTTCTTCCTACTATAGTTTCAAGTTTTACAAGTAATCATATTCTCCCATAAAGCCTTGAAATAAAGGGTACAGGGTGAGGAACTTTTAATTGAAAGCAGTTTTTGATTTTAAAGAGAAAATAACTACTTAGAGAATACCGAAATGTACATTATTTCATTTCTTTAATTAGAATTCTTAAAGATTAACAGAAAACCTATTGTTTAGGAGAGATGCTTGCACATAAAGCCTTATTTATTTTTTGTTTTTCTATCCGAAGTATTTTTAATTTATGTCCAGGCTATTTACCATCTAGTCACATTAATCGTAATCATAATTGATAAAGAACAAGGTAATCAATCTCACCATGACTGTAGCAGATCATTTGGCTAGGTGGCTCTTTTTTTTCTTCTAGAACTTTATTGTATTTTATGATTTAATAATTTGTCTTCTAATGCATCCTCAAGTCAGGAAAGTTTGCGGGTTAGGAAAGGAAGTGTGTTTGCATGTAAAGTTTTCACAATATGTATTTATCGTGACAGTTTAATAAGACTCATGAAAATCAAAGGTCATTTGTGATAAAGTTATTGGGAGAAAATTATTTTATATGATTGAAGAATTAAAGATTTGTGCCTGCATAATGATATATCAGTGTTTGGGGGAAGAATTCTCTAGCATTAATTGTGTACCTAACATATTGTCAAACACTTAGTTGTTCAATATGTATGTCTTGAATAATCAAAATCTATGTATAAATGTACTTTCCTAATATAAGAATCAATTTTATCCTATAAAAAGAATCACTGAAATATGCATTTATATACCAATATATCTATGTATATTTCTATTCTTAAATCTACATCTATATATTAAATCCGTATGTACCACAGGAGGGCTGACAAAAAAACCCCAAAAACTTCAAAATTAGCTGACAGCCAACCCAATCTGACAAACTAACTACTTCTTTTCACAAACATGAAATAATTTAGTGGGTAAAAATGGTATTTGGTATAAAAGGAAAAATAGACATAAAAATTGAGCCTAAATTCCCAGAAGATATTATCTCTTTCAATTAAAAATATGTTGACACGTCAAAGAGGAAACCAAACGGAACTCACATTTGTAAGCTTCCAGCATTAACACTTTTAAATTGGTCTTGACATTGACTTGCTAAAATTTTTTTCTTTACACAGAACAAACTCCAAGTGAGAGAATAGTTGTGAAAGTACTTACAATTATTTTATTATACAAGCGAAGTCCATTGTTCATTTTCCTTATTAATAATATTAAATGTATATGAAGGAAATTTTGATCTATGGAGCTCACATGTGGCTACTTTGGATTGACCATAGTCCAATTCCAGTAGAATGATAGAACAACAGAGTTTATTTTCCCAATGATTTAAAATTATTCCCTGAAAGCAAGCCAGCCGGTTTTGTGTTTTAGATGTGGGACTTGCCATAAGGTTTCCTTTGAACAAAGGGCTCAATGGCTAAAAAGTTAGAAAATGACTGCCTTAGAGCCTCAGACTTTTATCTGCAATAATATTCTTCATGCACAGCCAGTGTAATCCTTTTAAAAGGTAGTTTTGGATTAGATAAATCTCTCCAATGGCTTCTTACCTCAATCAGAATAAAATCCGGTCTGACCAGGGCCTACAAACCCCAGTGGGACCTGCCACAGTCACCACCTAACAAAACTCTCCATAGCCTCATACCTTACCACTCCCTGCCTTGCTCTCTGTCTTCTACCTGCTTAGGCCTCCTTGTTACTCCTACATGATGAGCTATCAGACCTTACCCTCGAATTTCCCTCTCTTGGAATGTTTTCCCCCTAGATATCTGCATGGTATTCATCCCTTCATTTCATTCAAATATTTACTCAAATTATTTCCTACCAAGGCCAAGCCTGACTACACTACCTAAAATAGTACCCCAGATCCCCATTGTTTCCATACTGTCTTATTTTACTACTCACAGTTTATTTTTCCCTGCTTATTTCTGTCTGTCCCAATTAGAATGTAAGCTCCATGAGATCAGGACCTGGCATTTTCTCTGTCTTTC